TTTTTTAAAATAAAAAAAAAAAAAAAAAAAAAAAAAAAAAAAAAAAGAACTAGTTTCATATTATGATTTGATACTTCATTATTGTTTTTGGTTTAGAGCTAAAGAAAGAGTTTAAAACATTTTGGATAAACACAACAGATAAAATAATCACAAACATAACTTACACGTTACATCACTACAAAAAGGAGCAAACATTGGAAGAATGGTTACAAATATAATCAATAATCCATCATGAATGTACCCTCTCAAGAATGAATGCAAAGTTTTAGGAATTAAATAACCAAGTGTTCGATTCTACGAAATTTACAGTGTCGAAACGATCACGAAGAACCGCTGCTACCTTTCTCAGAATGGAAGAATAACTATGCAAAGTATGGCAAGGTTGAGGAGCAAGAAGCCTGCCCCAGCTCCAAGCTTAGGTTGTCCATTACGTGAAGGAGCTGGAGGTGATGCGGCGGAGCCACCTTCCCCAGCAGGTGGTGGGGCTTTGCTCGAGACTGGAGACAATGGTGGCTCAGCTATGTCTTTGTCACCCAGAACCGGGCTTGAAGCTTTCTTTGGAGGCAAGTACGCCTCTGTAACGAGTTGCAACAAGCTACCAGGCTGGACAGGGATCATGTAGTTAGGTAGCTCTTTCATTGTTAAGCATCTGTTCTCTGCATTTAGTTTGAGACAACTATGTCAGTATGTCAGTGAGCCTGGCTCGAAAAACAAAATTTCAGACAACATTATGCAGTTGTAGCTGCTGGTTTCTGCACGATGAAGATGTAACAAATAGGTGCTAGAAATGAGACGTGAAAGGAGGGTACATGAATGAATTGAGACTACCTTCAAAGGAGAGCGATCATGAGGATAGAAGGGCTAAAAAAGACTTAAAAGAATTGAAAATTACTACCTATACCAACTCCTTTTCGGTGGCTCAATCATAAGAATTCTAAGTTGAGTGACCTCTGGAGAATTTTTCTACGAAGCATGTGATTGAGAACATAACATATTGAAAAGACCCGTATTGAATTGTGGGGATAATCTTCACTCTTAGAAGCAAGAAGCAAGTAACTTGATTATGTCACATCCCAAATCCAAATTCTGAATCCTTATCCAAATCTTGGGTATGGAGCGTCACAATTCTCACATATCAACCACCTGACGCTCTAGGACATTATGTAACAGCCCAAGTCTACCAAGAGCAAATATTGTCATCTTTGTGCTTTCCCCTTCTAGTTTTTCCTCAAGGTTTTTAAAATGGGTCTGCTAGTGAAGATTTCCACACTATTATAAAGAATACTTCGTTCTCCTCCTCAACTAAGATGGGATCTCATAATCCACCCCCTTTGGGTTCCAATGTCCTTGTCGACACTTATTCTCCTCTTCAATCGATGTGGGATCTCACAATCCACCCACCTTCGGGGCCAGCGTTCTCGCTGACACTCATTCCTCTCTCCAATCAACGTGGGATCTCACATATTAAATCCTAGGTACGTGGCTACCATGACTAGAACCAACCTCCTCTAAATACTATTTTACATGCCAAAATGATCCTCTAAAAAACAGGAACATACATTACCGACACTCTAGGAGTACGTCGTATCGATTTTAAAACTAAAACAAACTGAAAGCAGAATATTTTTTCTTGCAATCAGCTAGATATTAACGACCAGTTCCTGATCAACATAGCCTTTCTAATGGAGAACTTCTGGTTCTAAAAACAGTAAATCTATGAATGTGTTAGGATTACCATTACCACAGATGACCAAAATGAAGAGCAAAGAACTTACAAAAGCAAGCACATATTAATCAAGATAACTGAAAGGAAGATTCTTACTTTTATATCTAGCAGATGTCTTCGGAAAATCGGTGATGATTCCATCAATCCCGGCTCCCATAGCATATGAGTTGATCTCTACTGTTGCATCAGAGAAGAAATCCCATGCTTGAGAGACAAATTCATCGCTGAAGGTTTCCACATATACAGACAGATTAAGTGATTGCAGCTTCGTCACAACATTTGTAGATCCAGTGAGATATTGCTGGTTTTCAGGAAAGACTGAGTCCTTGGTGATAGTGACAGAATCGGCAAAACTCTTGATGTCCACGACAGTTTCATTAAGCACATCACTAATTGACATATCGACTTCATAAACAAGCTCGTAATTTTTCTTTTCCTCTTTGAATTTTATAAGAACAGGGCTATTTGGAGACTGAATCAATACTTTCAGGGCTGTCTGATTATCATAACCAGCTTTGCTCAAGGAATCAGAGACCGCATCGATTACACTTAAACCCTGTTCCTTGGCAAGGTAGTCTGCATTCTGGTTGGGAAATGAGACAAGATTTAATCAATAAAAATCAACATCCCAAGAACTTTCATGTTTCAATAGCATGATAGTTTATGAAGGTTGTTAAATCCTAGATCGAAGTTAAAGAAAAGATTGATTCATAGTTCCATTAAGCACATCGCTAATTGACATATCAACTTCATAGCCCAGATCACAACTTATCGCAGTCAAGCTCTACTAGACTCAATTCACATATCTATGTTGCAGCCAACTGACAATCTAGACACTGAGCCTCACAGTGCAGTGTTCATCCTTATCACAATCTAGCAATCAAATCCTTTTATTGAAGCAAGACATTCTGTGCAAAGTGTAACAATTGTACACTTTTGGCTGTGAGACAACGATTCTACGGCACTTGTTCTAATTCAATGAACAAGTCAGCCGTACGAAAATCGAATTTTACGGACAATCTCGACGTAGTCTTTAACCTCAAGTCACATTTTTGAGAGAAAATGTTTTATGGTCGAGAGAATGAGTTTAAAACAATCAAGCATGACCGTGACAAATAACAAGTAACTTTTTATAGCAAATGATTTCACATTTGTATACCAAGGATCTTAAACACAATGCATGTCATTCTGAAAAAAAAAAAAAAAAAAAAAAAAAAAAAAAAAAAAAAAAAAAAAAAAAAAAAAAAAAAAAAAAAAAAAAAAAAAAAAAAAAAAAAAAAAAAAAAAAAAAAAAAAAAAAAAAAAAAAAAAAAAAAAAAAAAAAAAAAAAAAAAAAA